GGTCGGGCGGGAAGGTCACTACGCACTCACAAGTACTGCGACTATTTCCTCACCGCTCGGTCGTTGTGTGGTCAGACGTGATGCTAAAAGCGTGGTAGGAATGCCCTTTTAATCCATCAGCAACCTTATGACACGAATCTTACTGTTATCTGCTTTTTGCAGATTCAGAGCCTGAGGCTGCCTTCCAGAGCTCGTGCGCCTGTTACCATATGCTTTGTATTCTCCCAAATTCTATCATTACCATGTGCTTGATAATCTCCCGAGCTCCACTTCGTGTCACCTTTCGTTCTTTCTGGGCAGAGCATTCCCTTCCCGGAGGAGAGAACTTCTGCACCTTCAAGAATCAACGAAAGCATCACCTCCTCTGTGAAGCCTTCTCTGATTCTTCCAGGCAAACTTAAGTTCTCCTTCGTCTGTTCACTCGGCCCTTGATCCCTTTTATTCTTACGTAGTATCATTGTTGGTTTGCTAGTCTGTTTTCCCCAGACCGTGACCTCCTTGGGATCAGAGTGAACAGACGATTCAGTTTCACCGAGAGCTTGATAATAAAAATTAGAGGATACACAGAGAAGAAGGGGAAAGTTAGGCGCATGATTATGAGTTCAGAGGTATGAATTCAAAGAGTATATTTGGTCAAGGGGTGGGTGGTTCTTCTAAGGTAATAATAGGGCTGGTAGAACTAGTGGATTCAAAACCAAGGATTTGGTCCTGATACTGGAGTTAATAGGAAGTTATTGAAAGTTTCTGAGCAGAGGAATTATATGCTCTATTTTCATTTCAGAAAGGATAGTCTGGATACAGAGCAAAGTCTGAAAACGAGGCAGTCCGTAAGAAACTATCACCATGGTCCAAATAAAAGACAATTAGAACCCAAAACATCAGGATGGCCATGGAAATGAAAACACTTTAAGACCAAATTGGGGGAACCATTAGAAAGGACTGACCAACAAGAATAGGTAATCTCATGAGAAAAGAGAAAAGAGTGGAGGACCACTAGGAAATTGGGAGAGTAATGAGACCACTGGCAAAAATAGGAAAGCTGAGGAATTGTTTGTGGGAGGAGATAGTAAGTGTGGTTTTAGATGTGTTGAGTCTGAAATGATGACAGGGGGAAAGTTCCTTTAGGCCCCTAGGGTATGTCTTCTGGCTTATTTCCTGTATACTTCCTTGTGATACCTAATATTCTGATAGCCCTGTTGGTCATGGCAACATATTATGGGCTCAGAATTTAACCACAGATGCTCTGTGAAATGGCCCTTTTCTTAGTCCAAGTGATCATGCTTAAAAGTTCTTGAGAGTGACAAGCCACAGCCCATGAAGAGGCCTTTTGGAGATGGATTTGCCCAGCAAAGGGTTCTAAGCAAAGACCTCCAACAACATTCTCAAAGATGACTAGGACATTGGTGACAGTGAGGAATGTCATAGAGGGCTTAAGTGAGATCTGGGTTCAAATCCGTACTCCATCACTTCTCTTTGAAGCCTTGGTGCTGTCCTTTGGGAAGAACAATGGGAATAATATCACCCACCTTATAAACTTACAGTGGGGATTAAATGTAAAGTACTTGGCACAGTTTTTGGCATATAAAAAGTATTAGATAATGTAAGCTATCATTATTATTTTATTTTTATTATTATTATCCTCATTATCAGTAGTTCATGTGGCCATCCTCTACTAGACTGATCTCTTTGGAAGCAGGAGCCATGTCTTACTTATAACTATATCTTCAGCTCATATCATGAGACACACAAAGTTTTTGTTTATTTAGAAACTGAGGTCAAGCCACTACTATGATACATTTATACATATATGTATATATGACTTTAAAATAAGCTCTTTATATTGAAATACTTTTAGATTTCCTGAAATACTTACAGGAAAGTTGCAAAGATAGTATGGAGAGTTCCCAAATAACCCTCACCCAGTTCCTCCCATTAATAATATTTTACATGTCCATAGTACATTTGCCAAAACTAAGAATCAACATTGGTACATTACTATTAACTAAACTCTAGACTTTATTTGGATTTAATCATTTTCCATTGATCTCCTCTTTCTGTTCTGGGATGCAATCCAGGGTACCACACTGCTTTTGTTGTCATCTGTCTCCAGTCTCCCCTGGTCTGAGGCAGTTTCTCAGTCTTTCTTTGTTTTCCATAACCTTGACAGTCTTGAGGAGTACAGACCAGGTATTCTGTAAAATATCTCTTGATTTGGATTTGCCTGATGTTTCTCACATGATTAGATTGGAAGTACGGGTTTGTGGAAAGAAATCCCTAGAGGTGAAGTGCTTCTCACCTCATCATATCAGGGGGCACATGACACCCACAAGACATCACTGGTGAAGTTAACTTTAGTCATGTGGTTCAGCTGATGTTTGCCAGGTGTCTCCCTGCAAAGTTACTATTTTTCCCTCCTGTCCTCTAGTCTTTGGGAACAAATCACCAAGTCTAGCCCAAGGGGGCAAGAGGTATTAAGGTCCACCTTCTGGAAAGGAGATTATCCACATAAGTTATTTGGAAATCTTCTGGAAGGAAGATTTGTCTCCTCTTCCCCACATATTTATTTATTTATTCAATCAGTTTTTTGTATCAGTGTTATGAGTTGAATTGTATCCCTCAAAAGAAGAAATGTTGAAGTCCTAACCCCCAATACATCAGAATGTGACCTCATTTGGAAATAGGGCCTTTGCATATTTAACCAAAGCAAAATGAGATGATTGGGAGTGGGCCCTAATCTAATATGACTGGGGTCTTTATAAAAAGGAGAAATTTGGACAGATATGCACAGAAAGAAGACAATGTGAAGATGTGATGGCAGAGGCAGATATTGGACTCATGCATCTGCAAGCCAAGGAATGCCAAAGATAGATGGCCACCACCAGAAGCTAGGAAGAGGCAAGAAAGAAGTTTCAATGGAAACAGGACACTGCTAGTACCTTGATTTTGGACTTCAAACCCCCAGATGTGTGAAATAATAAATACATCTCTATTATTTTAAGCCACCCTATTTATGGTACTTTGTTACAGCAGCCTTAGCAAACTAATACAGTCAGTATGTACTGAAGGATATTTATTTTATAGCTTAGTTTATAATCAAATAGTGTGTTAGTTATTGTGTTGCACAAATTGCTTTGACCATTGAGAGCTCTTTCAGGTCGGTTCTTTTTTTTTTTTTTTTTTTTTTTTTTTTTCAGGTCGGTTCTTATGTCCCTTGGATAAGCTCCCACCCTTTTGTTTTTTGAGCATGTCTGTCCTTTCTGGGACTGTAAGATACTTCAGCTCAGGTGTAGCTCGATTGGCAAAGTGCATGCTTAGCATGCATGAGGTCCTGGGTTCAATCCCCAGTACCTCCTCCAAAAATAAATAAACCTGATTACCTCCCCCTCCCCACCTCAGCCAAAATAAAATAATTAAATAATATGATGATAAATAAGTAAAAAATATTTAAAAAAAAAGATACTCTAGCTCATTTTGTATTTTCCCTGCTCCAGACCCAGAATCAGCCGTTTTTAGAAAGAGTTCTGCTTCCTTTTATTGGAGAATGGTATTTAGAAATTAAGATCTGGGTGCTAGGTATGCTCCCTGCTGTCGGGGTGGCATCGCTCCTAGGCCCTCTCGGTGAGCAGAGGTAGGTAATATTTACATGTATACTAGCCCGTGTATGCACATACATCGACAGTTGTTTCTGTATCTACCCATGTGTATATATGCTAAACGTGAGTTCACACTGATGTCTCCTACTCTACTCCAATACCACAGGGTTCACTCTAGCCTTTCCCCGTTGCTTACCTGTAACTTCTCTTTCCGGCAGTGAGAAACTTGGCTTCCAAAGTCCACTACTTATTTGCTCAACCCCAGTATACATGTAAAGCAGTTTCAAAAATTTTAACCCACAAGCCCACAAGTACCAAATTTATCAACTTGAGTACAGCGTTTATGTAGAATGGAGAGTACATCATTCATTTTATCTTTAGCCTTACAGTTTCCAGTCAAAACACTATTTTCCAAAGTTACCTAGGTCAGCATTTTTTTCTCACCCCTTCAGTGTGTTTATGTCATACATGTGTAATACAGATAGATTCATTGATCACAGTCTGCATTTGATCCTGGAATAACCTAGCATCCTGGTTGATTTTTAGGTGTTCAGTGTGTGTTGGGTGGACAGATATTAACTCTAAGCTCCCTGGGAGCACAATTCCTCCCTCTTTGTGTCCATATAATCTAGTTACATCCACATAAATAGATGCTCTATGAGTCTATTGATTCTTTTGTTCATGTAATTACCCCCCAAAAGGCAAATCTCAGACCCCCAGTCATTCCTTCTTTCCCACTAACGATTCCCAGCTCCCAACCATCTAGCTGATTCCAGCCCAGTCTAGAAAACTGCTCTGCTCCTGTCCCAGTTCTCCTTTCTCTGATATCACTGGGACACTGGGAATCCAGGCAGAACACACATCATGCATACACATACACACACATGCACTGTTCTGCTCCCCTGCCCCTTTATCTTCATATCTGTTACACAAAGATGTACTTTCCTTTCTGAGATGCCCTCCACCCTTCCCTCTTCAACCAAACCCATCTCTTCTCCTAAAGTCTAATGTAAAGCCCTATTATTCTCCTGGAAGCCCTCTTTGATTTATCCTGCGGCCACATTTCCCTCTCTTATTGAACCCTGACTACACTCTGGGCCTCTCAGTCTCTTCAGCCTTTACTCTGAGAGCAAGGGGAGAAAGAGGAAAGGAGAGAGGAGGGGCCGAAGGAGAGAGAGAGCCAAGAGAGCCCCTGGGGTGGCCTGGGCTAGCTCGGAAGTACAGGAGCACTGGTGGAGCCTCCAGAAGAGTTACAGTACTCCCCCATCACCTCTCCAGGCCATCCCCCAGGACTGCCTTTGCTCCCACCCAAAATGACAGCCTTTAGTTGTATCGATTCCAAACTCCTTATATGGGCTGGGAGCTGAGGGTTAAGAGATGAAGAGGGTATAGGGCTCCTGTTCTCAAAGCACTCAGAATCTAACTGGGAAAATAAGACATAAGAAAAAATAAGCAAGATTTTAAGACAGCAACGCAATAATGTAGATGAATTCAGAGAAAGACAGATAGCTGGCCAAGCAGGTAGGGAAGAGGTGGTGGAATTTGGTTTGCAGGGAGTGCAGGAAGGGGGAGAATTTCATCTGTGTGAGCTGAAAACTTGGAGTGCAAGGGATGAAATCCCCTCTGAGCACCACAACCTCACTTCCCCTCAGACCCAGAGATGGAAAACTGCCAAACTGGTCCCCACCAGCTGGCTGAACCAGAGGGTACTTCCAGGGCCATTGTCCACAGGGCCGTGGATGCCATATGGGGTGGGACAGGGACATGGAGTACCACCAAGGGCTTTTGAGGAGGAGAGAGTTACAGGAGCCAGTACCGCATCTCAGCAGGACCGACGGGGAGGCTATGTGTGGGACAGATGGCAGCAACCTGAGGCTGGAGACCAGCTGAGGTTATCACAACAGTTCCCATCAGGCCCACACCAGACTTAGGCCACGTCATGATGTGGTCACTGAGCCTCCTCTCTGGGGCTTTCTGTCTGTGAATTGTGCCACCACTTGTCTTTCCTCAAATCTCAAAAGGATCCAGGCAGATCCTCCCCCTCTTACCCCTGGTTCTCAACAGGAAGTCAGCACCTGAGGTTGCCATGGACTTGGAGGGACGGGCTGGGCGTAGAGATGCAGAGCATCAGGGACCAGGAGAACAGAGTGTAATCTGAGAAAGGAGGAGGAAGTTCTGTCAAAGTTAAGTGATAACACCTAAGTAACAGCCCCAGCTATTTAGCCTTTCCACAGCCCTGGCAGAAGCTTTCAGCAAACTCTCCTCTCCACAGAGGCCGGAGTCCCCAGGATCTGTCTGCTTCTCAACCCACACTCCATCCTGAGCATCCATCATGTGCTTCAGATCCCTGCTCTGGGTGCTGAGGTGAAGGGCATCCCAAAGGAAGGAAAAGCAGAATTTAAGAGTCTCAGTCTGCAAGGCTGGTTAGACCCCAGGACTGACAGCACACCGTTCTGGACATCTGGGCTGGAGGCTTGGGGAAGAGGGGAGAGCAGTGCTGGGGTGGTGGGGGTGGGGCAGTACTGGGTGGTGCAGCCGGCTTAGACCACTTATACTGCAGCCAGGGACCAAGCTGGGCAGGGGGAAGCAGTAACCAGGGGGAATGTGTAGGAGTGGCGGTGGTGATGTGGGAGGAGGGAAGGCAGAATTTGAGAAGAGGGTATTGAGGGTGGGTGTGAGAGGCTAGCAGGGTACTGGGCTTCTTTGCAATATAACCTAAAAAGAGGAGTATAAACGCATTTAAAAAGCCACCTTTGGGATCTTGCAGGGAGCATGGACATCTCTTCTCCATCCCAACTTCCCACAGGACTTTTCATCTTATTCAGGAGCAACCAGCTAGAGCCGAGGAGAAAAGCCCTAGTCAGAACCA